TTACCTAATACAAACTACTACAGTTATTCAACTGGACACTTTTCTTTAAGGAAAAAACCATGGCTTATTACAGTACTCGATGATCAAATCATTACTGGCAAAGCTAAAAGACAGCTCTCTCCTTCAGGAACCATCCTTATTACTCATTGGCAATGCTATATAGAACAATAATTTACTCACTTATATCCACTTTCACTGATTCAATCACAAATATGTCAAGGTTGCTCTCTCAATTCTTACACAATTGCCAACAAATGCACAATCAACATTCCTATCAATCTCTCGTCTAGATTCTTTGATCGAGTCAACACACACAATAAAACCCTCAACTTCAATGCTAACCACCTTAACCTTATGTACTCTATTGCAATTCAACACTCTATTCAAATCTCTAATCCTCCTAATATCAACATTACAACATACTTAATTCCAACGATATTTGAATCCAGTACTTTAACAAACAACCTTCAACAAATCACTAACTATAATGCACAACTATCAGAACTTCATTTTTATACAGATGGCTCTGTTATCAACCTGGGCACCTCACAATGCTTTATGGGCATTGGATAGGCCCAAATTTTAAACAATAATATAATACATACCTTCCAAGCCCAAATAAGATACTGGCCCTGCTCATTTAAAGCTGAGCTTACTGCTATTCTAACAGCCCTAATTACTGCTCCTAGAAACTGTACTATACATATATATACTGACTCACAGTCTGTAATCTCTAAATATTACAGTCTTTCAAATTCAGCCCATACTTCATCTTATACACATACTTCATACTTCTCATTATGGAATACACTTATCAACTTTGTCAAATTATACAATTAGAGGTCTTACCCGGGTCGAAAAATCATGACCCGGGCAGGTCAGATGCTGACCCAGGTTTTGACCTGGGTCAACGGGTTATGTAGAAAGTTAAAATTTCTTACAAGTTGGTGTAACATTGTTATTGGTGTAACACCATTTATTCTTAAAAGTCGATATGTACTAGTGTAAAGAAATATCTTGTACTCTAAAATTTTGTTATTTATACGTACGTAGTAAGGTATTTGAAGAAGTTTAAACTTACATTGCCAAATATCTATGAATAAACTCAATGTTAAATAATAACATTCATTTTTAGAACATTTACATACTAAGTTTTTTTGTTACGGCCTAATTATCTTTCAAATTAGTGCGATAATTGAATTCTGAGAATCCTATGATGCCATTGTGAAATCAATATAATATGCAGGTTCATAGAATTCTCAGGATTCAATTTCGCACTAATTTGAAAACAATGATAAAAATTTGAGGGTGCTGTTATCGTTATATTGTTGGAATTATTCTTAGAAATTTTCGTGCAGTATCTACGTGCATAAATAGTTAAAGCTTTTGTTACGGATTGAATTAGATAAGTATAAAGCATATGTGCATTACCTAAATCAGTTAAGGCTGAAAATGTTATGAAGTTAGCGTTATTGTTTTACTGAATTGACATAGAAAAGAATAATGTTAGACAAATACATACCCAAGCTAAGGTTTTTAGCTGCAATGCATATAGAGAAAGCTTTTATTGTTTCTTATGCCTAAATTTTATCGTCAAATATGGTATTTATAGCTTGTATGTCTTAGCTTATAAAAAGCCATGTTGGAGATTGCAAGTTGAAACTATAAACTAAAAAAAAAAACGATCCCACAACTTACTTTGGCAACAAAACATTTAGAAAAACTTTCACCAGATTACCTTGAACTTCTTAATAATAAAGAAGATTTTAATGTTATAATTAAGGTCGGAGAATCACTAAATGCAAAAGTATTCCAAGCACATTCAAATGTTTTAAGATATAGATCTTTGTATTTTCAATATACGTATTGGTAAGCTTATATGAAAATATTTTCATCTTTAGTTGTAATCCATTGTTCAAGAAAGGATAATTAACAATATTACATTATCTTAGAATAATATATAATTATATATATATATACGTATTTATAAAAATCATATTAAATTGTTGTAGCATCCTAATTTATTAAAAACAACGAAAATACCAATCAACAATAATGAGCGACGAACATTTAGATGATATAGTTTTAGAGGATAGTAATGTTAATTTGGATGGGTTGGAATTTGATTATATGGATTTTAATAAAGATTCACCCCAGTCCCCCACATTCTCACAAACTAGCGATCAATCTTTAGTTAATGAAGATTTACCTCAGTTACCTGCATTACTGCAAACCGGTTTAGTCAAACGAAAAAAAATTGAAAGGCAAGGCGGTAGTCCTGTTAAAGTGTTTTATAATATTACATTAATTGATAATATTGAATTTTGGGTTTGTCGTCATAAAGCTTGTATTCCTAGAACAAAATACATAAAAGATGGTTCTACTTCTAATTTATGGTGACATTTGAGAAATAAACACCATATATCACGAGCCATGGTGGAAAATAGTCAAGCAAAAGTTGTAGTAAAGAATAATAGTTGTGAATTTTGTATAATTCCCGAATCATCTCAAACAACACTAATACAAGCATTTAACAAAACAAAAAAATATACATTCAGTAACCCCAAACAAAAAAAACTTGACAATAACATAGCAGCTTTTATTGTTGAAGAGCTTCAACCATTTTCAATTACTCAATCACGGGCACTTAAAAGAATTGTTGAAGGACTCGATGCCCAGGCTAATGTACTTAGTAATGACCGTTTAAAAGAAATTTTTATTAATTCTGAAAATAAAATTTTGCAAAATATTCGTGAATATGCACTTAATAGTGCTGAATTAGTCATGTTTCGTTTACAACCGATATGTGGACATCAGATAATGGTGATCCATATATTGGACTTACCCTTCATTGGATCAATGATAGCTTTCAAGTAAAAGAAATGATTGGTAATATCTCATATCTTCCATATCCTCACATCTCCGAATGTCTTTTTAATAAGATAGTTGAAATTTTGGATAATCTCAACCTCAAACATATAACCATTAGTGGTACAGTCGATAATGGGCGTAATATTAAATCGTGTTTAGAAAGGTTAGGATGAAAATATAATATTTTTTAAATTTTTTGTTTTGGGTATACCTTGCAACTCGCAATTAATAATACGTTAAAAGAGTGCCTTGAAATTACAAATTTAATAAAAAAATGTAAAAACCTAATATTACATTTTAGTGAAAGCCCAAAACAAAAACAATTTTTTTTAGAAGCTCAAATGGAGATGGAGGATTGGGATAATTTTCTTTTTGTAGTTCGTGATGTTTCAATGAGGTGGAACTCGACGTTCTATCTTTTAAAACGGCTAACAATTCTTAAACCTGTAATGTATAAGTATAAATCATTTTTAGTTGAAGGTAATGAAAATAGTATACTGCAAAGTTATGAAGAAAAAGAGCTGTCATCTAATGAATGGGAAAAAGTAACCAAATTAGTTAAATTATTGTATCCTTATGAAGTAGTTACAAAAAAACTATCAGGTTCCCAGTATCCAACACTTTCTCAAGCATGGTTCGTGATTAATTTTATTAAAGGAAAACTTGATTGTGCAATAACAAATAATGTTGATGTCCAAAAATTTAAAACACTTCTTCATGAATCAATCAAAAATCGATTTTTAGAACCATCAAAGCCAATTCGACTCACTGCTTTTCTTGATCCACGAACCAAAGATATGCAAATCTTTACAGAAGAAGAAAAGAATCATACTATTTCAGAAGCACGCATAGAATATCTTGAATTAGCTACTAACTATTATGTAGATAATATTTCAGATACAGTACCTAGTGATATAATGAATGCTGATAATGACATTTTTTCTGATCCTTCAGCCACTTACTTGCAAGAACATTCAAATGAACAAGATGATGATAATATTACTAATTGTAAGTTTAACTCATATTTACTATTACCAAGAGTTTTAAGTGAAACAGACATACTTCAATGGTGGGCCTCAAGAAAAGCCGATTACCCTATACTTGCTAAACTTGCTCGCAAGTATCTATCGATCCCAGCCATGTCGGTGCCATCCGAACGCCTTTTTTCAGCCGCGGGTCTAACTGTTACTGAAAAAAGAACAAAGCTTAACCCTCAATTTGTTGGATCAATTTTAGTGCTTAAGGAGGCCCTAAAACTTTGGCCTGTTTCATATATTTTTGACCAGGTAAAAAATTTTATACTTAAATGATTTTAATAATGCTATTAAGTGAATAATTCTGAAATTATTTGTTAGTAAAATGCTAAACACCTGGAAAGTGCTTGCAGATTAAATAATTCATTTAAACTTTATGAAGAAACAAATTTTATAAAAATATAACAAACCAGTACATTTGTATTAAGAATTAGAGGGGAAACTTATTGCATGATAGGCGGATATAAAAAATCGCCTAAAGATTTAAGAAATCTTATTGAACATTAATATATTATTTAGAGAAAATTGACTATTATCGTTGTGTAAAGAAATAAAGAATAAAAATTAAAAATAAATACCAAAGTGAATAAAAAATAAATTAGTGGAAAAATTGCCTAACATTTCAAATAAAGTTTGGTGGTAAGAGTGCGATTTAACATTAATTCAAATTTTGAATTTAAAAAATATTTATTTGTACGTACATTGTAAAATTTGAATTTATCCTCCCTGTGATGACTGCGCCTTTCCAGGAATCGATCAGCAAAATTTTTAAAATTTTTCAAATTTCGAAAATTTTAGAAATTTTAAATTTTTTTTATTTTTTATCAATTTTATAAAAAGAATAAATTTTAGAAATAGCGTAAATTTATGAAAAAGAAGAAATTTAGTAAATTTTAGAAATTTATAGTATATGAAGAAAAATGTATAAAAATGAAACGAAATCACCTTGAATAAAGCAACTCACGAAGAGTTCAATTAAGTGCTTCGAATAATAAATAAGTAGAAGTCTTGAATTCTGAGTTATAACCCCTTGGTAATAATAGATCGTTGGTAAAACTCATTTCGCAAATTCTTGTTCTCGTGATAACGAAAATACTGTAACCTGATCGTAAGAAAAAGAAAGTAGAAATTTCCAAATTAGTAACCATAAAATTACTTATATAGTGATTAAGTAATTGAAATACACTTAAATTGATTTATAAACTGATCCCGAATTCGCTGAAATTCGTAAGCACGTGACACCATTATTCCAAGTAACGATCGAAATAAGCAGTATATTATTACTCGTGTCCCCGTGATTTAAATCCCGTAACCCGCATTTGGAAAATTGAAAATTGAATAAGATACTATAGTAAAGGCTATAATAAAGTATTAACACAATTTGAATTAAAAGCCTAATACTTATCTCTTAAGACTCCCGTACTGGAGGTAAGCCACAGAAATACCCAAAGAGCCTAAAACTCAAACTATATCTTTCCACGCCTCGATCGAAGCTTGCCATTTAGAGTTTTTGGTGTATTGAATGGTAGATTTTAGTTAAGTGTATAGTCTTAGGTTCTTGTGTAACCATTCCCTGAAGGACGAGTTCTATCTAGAACCAGTCCTGACTTTCTCAACGTACGTACATACGTATGACGTACTAAATAACAGTATATATCTGATATTAATTTAATACAGATGTGATTATACGTAGTGTAATTTAACGTTATTTGCAAATATTAGTAGCAGTTAATTTATTCTTAATTCTGACCCGTTTGACCTGGGTTGGGTCAAATTCTGACCCGTGACCCATCGGGTCGGGTAACCCATATGGGTCACCCGACCCAGGTAATACCTCTACATACAATATCTATATTATTTTCTATAAAGTTACTGCCCATCAGAATGACCAGTACAACAATCTCACAGACCAACTTACACGCAGCCACTACAATCTACCATATCTTACCTTTATGCTCTACAATATTTACAACCCTGCATACACTTTAAATCTTGAAAAATTTCCTTTAGAACTACCTACTCGCTATAGTATCCATACAATATGTCATGCATATATTTATGCTTTATGGATCACACAACATTGCTTTCAAAAATGGGACAAAATCCTTAACCAAGTTAATTGGCAAGTCATCTGGCTATATATCAACAATAACCAAAAGATCTCAAACTTCTCGCACAGCTTTCAATCCTCTACTCTTAAATCCTTTAGAATCAAAATTCTACTAGATAATCTTCCCACTCCATACATCCTACATAAACGATATTACTTATACTCACCTATCTGTCACCAATGTCATCAAATTAATTCTCATCTTCACTGGACAACCTGTTCATCTAATTAATTGCTATACAGTCTTATAGACATTTCATTACAACATACTATAAATACTAAAATACTTGACACTATTTCAAATACTATAACCAACTTATATAACCAAATCAAGCTGTTGAGTAGTAT